CAAACAATTTTGCATACTCTATATTATATCAACAAGTCACGTGATTTATTAATTTGTTTATTATTTGCTACGAATATATATAATTACATTATTAGTTTAAAATCGGATTGTAGAGATTCATGTAATAAATTAAGAACATACATAACTATACCAAATATTAGACTGATAGGTGCATAGGACCAATCTAATATCTCAAATTATTAACATAATTTGTAGATTTTTATTAATATTTCGATAATGAAATAGATATTTTTTGTACTTATAAATTACGTAAATTATCCCAATTTTTAAAAATCACTCAGCGTGTATTTATTGGTAAATATTTACGTCATAATCGAACAATTATGAATTCAGTCACTCTGTCATAGAACTTCTGTGACGAATTCGACTCACGAAAACAGAGGTGACGTAACTGGAGCACACATACGTCATAGTCAAATATAAATATGGCGTAGGGCGGTGCCATGTGTCATCATTACGATCGATAATTGTTCTTTGGATAAGTAGCGCTTAAGTCGATCGGATGCTCTTATTTATGCTTCACGTGAATGAATGTTTATCTATTTTATTATGCTCGTTACGTTTCAAGCATTGTTGTGTTTCGAGTACATGAGAAAATGTTGATTCAATAGAAGAAAGAGGTTAGCCAGCGCTCTCATTTTGACAGGCGCAAGTCACAGACTGTGGTGGGACAATAAAGAAGTCGGTTAACAAGCCGTGCACCAGTCCGTGTTTATTCATCGTTAACACAGCACAAGATCGTGTTTTACTGCTACTCCAGTGTTTTTGTTTAGTGTTACAAGTTATTTTGTTTAGGTACAAGATAGAAGAAGAACTACAAAAATGGGTGATTGTAGAACAGGTGAATCATCATAACTATTCTGAAATGAGTTTTTTTTTTTTAATAAAGTTCTATGACTTGCATATTACAACTGTCTAAATAATACATTCATTGCAAGATATCAGAAACATTTTTGATACTAGTTTGCATACATGTACGTACATTCATTTATTTGTAGAACCTCTGATAAGTTACAGGATATGTGATAAACTATACGTGAAAATAGACACATAATTCTTTAATTCTCACATTATTTAGTCTATACTATTTTTTTAACTATGTGTAATTACATAAGTCATGAACATTGGCTTATATTTTTCATACATCTTTATTTAACAGAACACATTGTTATGACTCCAAAATGCAAGACAGCAAACTCTACAACAATTATAATAGAAAGACAAGCTTTAGAACCACCAGCAGAGAATGGAAATGAAAATAATGTTCATGTTGCTGGAGGCAATCACAAGGGAATAGTTATTAACAAACAAGCTGCAGCTGGTACATAGATTTGTTTACAATGTGTATGATATTAGAATATTGCTAATATGTATGAAATATCATGTTGGAAAATTTGTTATAGTTACAAATGGTGAAGTACATCCAGCACATCTTTGCTTGCAATTTAGAGTATTCTTAGTGAGTGGTCAAACTGGAAAGCATACTCAAGAATCCAGAACTTTGCAGTTTTGGTTTATAGATGTGCTTTCCGAGGCTGAACATCCAAGTGTAGCACAAGAATTCTTTAGAGAGTTAGTTAGTCCTCAAGAATTTCCACGAGGTAAGAGTTATTTAAAAGAAAATCTTCTATAATTGTCTCTTTCTATAAATCACAAATTATTTTTAACTATATGCATGATGTATTATTCATAATATCTGTGTAATGTATTAAATATCTTAATTAAGCTTCTTAGCTTATAATGATTATTAATACAATAGAATAATGGTTTCATAAAGTAGTATATACTTTTGTTGCAGATTATGTTGGATTTATTACAAAAATAATGAAACTAATGTTACACAAATATCCTAGTATCAAAAAGATAGAAGTAGAATTGAAGCAGTTAGAGGAACCAGTCAATCTTCCAGCTAGGCCATGTAAGTAGAATATTAAATAAATATTTCTTATGTTAATAAGTCATATTAGTTAATATTTGAAAATTTATTAAAAATAAATTTGAATACAGAATCATTTATGCAGTTGGTTGATTTCATTTCAATTACTGATTTATTGTACGTTAAAATATAATTCTCATTTTAATGAAATAACTGTCAAGTAGGCAGTAGCAGCAAGATTTATTTGATTAGGCTCATTGAACTAAATGGTTCTTCATTGAAAGATGCTGCAGTAATACTGCTTCAGTGTACACTGTAACTGATACCAAAGGAAGTCCACATTCACATTTGTATAACTCATTTTATTTATTCACAATGGCTTGCATATTTTGTATTATCTTCTAATTGGTTGTGTGGAATAAAAATTTTATTTTAAATCTTTGTTATTCACAGCTAATACTGGTCATATACTGTTCACACTCCCTCCATGTAAGAATATTTGGAAATCAGGTTGGAGAGAATGAAAAAAGTTGTATATTTTATTACAATTCTGTATTATTTATATGAAACTTTTTACATACTGTCTATCACGTAAAAAGAGTAATTATTTCATATTTGCCGGTCAAAGTTTAATGAAAAGATTCATCTGCTCAAGTATCCAGAATGAATATATCTTATCATGAATAAAATTTGTTTATTAACATTTCATTTTTATGTGAAGTATAGGAAGAAAGAAAAAGGAAAATAAATGTGTTTCATTTGTGTATT